TATTTCGTCGTTCTCGATTATCAACAATCGAACGTTTCTGTGAAAATCATCCAACATTATCTTTTCAACCAATTCTTTCTCTTGGTAATGAAGATGAAGAAAAAATTTCTCATGAAAAAATTCCTGATGATTGGGTTCGTGGTTATAAAAATGTTAAACAGACATTTGATGGACAATTTATGCTTGCTCTACAGAATGCACCATTACCATTAAAAACTTTAATGGAATTAAGAACAATAAATGAAGCTCAAGATAATTTTGAAATATTTCTTGAAAAATGTTTTCAAAAAGAACCAAAAAAACGTGATTTAATCATGAATGAATATGAAAAATATAAACAAACAAAAAATATCGAATATTTATTAAAAATTTATACATTTGAATCATCAGTTTATAAAGCATTACAACAAGAAATGAATGCTTATACAACAATAATATTTCTTAATTTAAAAAAATTAATTAATCGAACATATCAAGGTACAACTTATCGCGGTGCACAAATGACACAAATGGATATTGATGCATATAAATGGGCAGAAAAAAGTCAAGATTATATTTTAGAAACACGTCTATTTCAATCAACATCAATAAAAGATGATGTAGCTAAATTATATGGTGAAACTGATCTAGCATCGGATAAATTTGGTGTTCTATTTATATATATATTTGATGAAAAATGTCCAACTGCTATTAACTTACAAGGTATTTCTCATTTTGAAGATGAAGAAGAAATTTTATTATTACCATTTACATTATTTAAAGTTGAAAAGATAGTTTTTGATAAAGATTTGAAACATTATGATATTTCTCTTCGATATATTTCATCATCAAAAAAATCATTTTTTTTATCATGGTGGAATGTTAAAAAAAATAAATAAATTATCATTTCAAACTATTTCATTCAACATAGACAAAAGAGTCTTTCTAATTTTCACGTTTAATAGAATCATCGACTGGTAAACTTGTTTTCATAGGAATAACACTATTTTCTTCACGCACGATTGCATCAATAACATTAGGCAAATCGTTTTGAGTACCATTTGATGGTAATGGTACAACAACAACAGCAACTTGATTTTTTCCTTTTTTGTTTTTACAACAACAATGTGACCAGAATTTGTAGATACAATATATACCATAAATAAATGAAAAAAAGACTTAATATAAAATATATTACCGTACTGTAGGTTACGACAAAACCTAAACAGTCTGATGAACGAGAAGGTAAGTAGAACATTGCTTGTGAACCCTAGAGAGAGAAAAAAATCATCTCGCATTTATCGAATTATATCACAGTTTGATTGTTATTTAATTATTACCGGCCCAACTGCCCAACTTAAAACACCACCACCAATACCAACTATAATCATAAACGCACGACGAAATGCTTTTTCACTAGTCTTATATTTAATAACTGTTGCTACTAAAATCTATAAAATCGAATTATATATATATATATATATATTGTAAATAAAATAAGAAAAAAAACAATGAAACAAACCAAATTAATCAATGCAATGATAAGAATTATACTCGTAGAACCTAATACAAGTAACCAAATTGGAAGTGATGGTTGACGAGGTAAATAACATTGTCGTTTGTACGCAATAACACCAATAATTAATGAAACTAGTCCAATAATAGCAACAATAAATAGGAAGATAATTATGAATAATTTTTTCATTAAAAATTTGACATGATCTCTTATTGGATTGACATTTACTCGGCCAAGTTCTTCTTGAATCGGTTTTATTTCACGATCACCAAATAGATCGATAATTGCTTGTTGATTTTTGTCATTAAATTTAAAACTTGCTTCCTACAAACGAAAAACTTATATCTATTCTGAAGATCATATTTATCTATTTATCTTACTCCCATCGTTTAATTTGTATTTTTTTTCTCTATAAGTCTTTTTCACGTTATATATAGAAGGCGTTGTGTTTGCGCAATACTTTGAGTCAATAAGAATAATATTTTGTCTCACAATGTAAATAATGATAAAAATCATATTTTGGATTTTTCCAATAGAATACTTTCAATGTTTATTATTAAAAATCATGCATATAGCGGTAAAATTTTGAAAGAAAGATAGAATCGTCACGGTAACATTGGTTTGAAGAACCATATTTTATTTTTTTTATTGTACATTAAAGACTGCATAAACAAACGAAATGAATTGAAGGCAAATCATTACTAAGGTTTTATTGTTTATACTTATGGTACTCGAAAAGAAAATTTAGAGAAAGGCACACGACTCCTGAATGTGTGACTGTATCACTTAATTAATTCAATACTTCAGATATTACATATTTGAATATTTAAGATTTCGATCAATATCTATTCATATACTAATTGAGCACTCAAATATTGACATTGGATTTACTGCAAAATGTGATAAATCTTGACATAACAAAAATAAAATAAAAATAGACGATAGCGAATGGGTGTTGATGAATTTCCTGCATCTATAGAAATTATCAATGATCAACAAATCTATGTTTATGTGAATTATCTTCTTGATCAATAAAAAAATTCTGATAATTAACACATGATTATACCATCAACTGAACAAGGTCAACACTTCGCCAAATCAGTTTCTTTGGGATGGCATAATTCATTTTCAATTACTATTATTGCTCATAAAAAATTCGATGATTTTATAAGGTTCTTATCTATAAATTATCAAAAACCAATGGAAAAAATTTTTAATGAATTCAAATGATGGTTAAAATAAACAAATCTTAGAAAATATGATGATGATTCTATGTTGTTGATTCAATGAATTATAGAATTCAATTGTTTGAAAGATTATAAGGATTATATTTCATTTATTTTTAAAAGCTTTTTTTATTTATTTTACATTGAACTTTTTTTCTTCTTCATCAATTAATTATTTATTCATTTTTTTTGTTCTTGAATAAATACTTCGAAACAAATATTCATTAATTCATATTTTAACGATTGCAAAATCGATATTTTGAAATAAAAACAAGAAATTTCTCTATATAATGTACTGAATATATATACAAAATAACATAGTGATAAATAAGTAGAAAATAGAAATTTTGAATAGAAACGTTAATCATCGTGTTATTTCAATAAGCGAAAGCTGAATTAGTATTTATATGTTTAAAAGAATAACCAACATTCAGTTTTATTTAAACAATACTTCTAACAATCAAAGATTATTTTATAACAAATTATTTCTTTCACATTTTACAAACAAGATTTAATATAATTAATACTTTTTAAAGTTAATTCGATTAGTTTTTCGTAACAGTTAAGAAGATAAACTATATAAAGCGTCATCTGTTATGTCTTAGAATTGTATTTGTATCCGACGCTTTATTTCGAATAACCAATAATTTGTCTCTCTTTCATTTTACTTTTATTTTAACTATATCGTTTGTTGAAAACAAAGAAACTTTTTATTAAAAAAATAAATAAATAATTATTTAATAATATTTCAGAAAAAATGACTGATCGGGTACGAATTTTGATTATTGAATCATTTACTTCAATTCTTTATGTAATACGTAAAGAAATAAAAATATCCAAGTCAAATGCTAAATATTGGGTGTGA